AAAAGTAGGGAATTGTTTACAAGATATTTCCTTTCTTGACTTTTCTTTTTTTTAAAACAGAGTTCTCTAGAGTTCATGTCAAGTATCCTTGTGAACAACAAGAAAATACTTCTCAGGGTACCTGGGTGGCTCAGTTAGTTAAGCTTCTGCGTTTGGCTCAGGTCACGATCTTGGGGTTCTGGGATCGAGCCCCACATCAGACTTCCTGCTTAGCAGGGAGCCTCTTCTCCCTCTCCCCGCTGCCTGTGCTCGCTCTCAAATAAATAAAATCTTAAAAAAAAAAAAAAACCCCACAAGATAATACTTCTCTTTTCAGAGAAATCACACAGCAGAATGATAGATTTCCTCAAGATTTAAAGTCTTAAAATAGGAGGGTGATGAGAAAAGAGTCCCTGAAGTTGGCTTGGTGGCAGTACTTCAAGGAATTGGCAAAATTTTCAAGGGGATGGCCATATGGTATACTTACAGGCTTTGGGGTTCATAGCCTTAACCAAGTTTCCTGACCACAGCTTATGAATGGTATGCAAGGAGAAAGCTGTCAGATTTCCAGAGACATTATGATCCTGGACAATACAGATGTTAGCAAAAACCTTGATGAACTAGAGCTATTGACACTTTCTGTTTCTCTAGTACCATATAAAGCCTGGGTGAGAGGGGAGCTCCTGATATTGATGAAAATTTAATTTCTTGCAACCCTAACAGAATGAGAGCTTTGAGTCTCTCTCTCTCTTTTTTAAGATTTTATTTATTTATGAGAGACACAGAGAGAAGTGCAGAGACACAGGCAGAGGGAGAAGCAGGCTCCATGCAGGGAGCCTGATGTGGGACTCGATCCTGTGTCTCCAGGATCACACCCTGGACTGCAGGCAGCACTAAACCACTGCACCACCGGGGCTGCCCAGCTTTGAGGCTCTTAATTCAAATTTTTAAAACAATAAACAAATAGATATTTCTTATACGCTTGAGGGATTTTTAAAAATTTTTTAATTTATTTATTTATGATAGTCACAGAGAGAGAGAGAGAGAAAGAGAGAAAAGCAGAGACACAGGCAGAGGGAGAAGCAGGCTCCATGCACCGGGAGCCCGATATGGGATTCGATCCCGGGTCTCCAGGATTGCGCCCTGGGCCAAAGGCAGGCGCCAAACCGCTGCACCACCCAGGGATCCCGTTTTTTTTAATTTTTAAATTTGGAAATAATTGCATATGAAGTTGCAGAAATTAAAATAGTACAAAGATTTTCCATCTATCCTTTTACTCAGATTCACCTATGGTTAAAATTTCCATCTGATATATTATTTCCTGTTTATCTAATAAGCTTGAATGTATATTTATATAATACATATGTGCAACATATATTTGTGTGTGTATATACAGTCTTTTTTTCTGAACCATTTGAGGGTAAGTTATATATATATCATGATACTAAAATATTAAGTCATATATATTAGGACCAAGAGAGACATTCTCTTTCATAAGTACAGTTAGGGTTGCCAGATTTAAAGAACTCTGGGCAAATTCCCACAAAAAAGGAAATGATATCTTGTCATTTGCAATAACATGGATGGAACTAGAGGGTATTATGCTAAGTGAAGTTAAGTCAGTCAGAAAGTGACACACCATATGATTTCACTCCTATGTGGAATTTAAGAAACAAAACAAATGAACAAAGGGAAAAAAGAGAGGGAGGAAAACTAAAAAACAGATTCTTAACTATAGAGAACAAACTGATGGTTACCAGAAGAGAGGTGGGTGGGAGGACAGGTGAAACAGGTGATGGGGATTAAGGAATGCACTTGTTGCCATGAACAGGGGGTGATGTAAGGAAGTGTTGAATCACTATGCTATACACCTGAAAATATTACACTGTAGGCTAACTAACTGAAATTTAAATAAAAACTTAAGGGCAGCCTGGGTGGCTCAGCGGTTTAGCGCTACCTTTGGCCCGGGGCGTGATCCTGGAGACCTGAGATGGAGTTCCCCAATGGACTCCTTGCGTGGAGCCTGCTTCTCCCTTTGCTTCTCATGAATAAATAAATAGAATTTAAAAAAAAATAACTCTGGGCAAATTCCAACAGAAATTAAAGCTTCTGAACTCTGAGTAGGAAAACTATCATACTTTCTCTCCTGGACACACACACTATTCCTTGATCTAATGAGTTCTGAGTCTCTTTGGTCACCCTTCAATTCCTAAGCAATAAGCCAAAGATGCTGGGCAAGGTTTCTGGTAACCAGTGTATACTATAACCTTGTTGATAAAATTGAGGGCTTGATTGATTCTGGAATTGAATTAACACTTGTACTTCTCCGGTCTTTTATACTTGCCTTATATAATTCCATCTCTTGGAAGTTCTGTTGATTTAGTAGTATTTCTCAGAATTGAATTAAATTTAAGAATTGTCTTATAAAAACCACTGCTTATCAAATTTGATTTGCGTAGAAATCATCATTGGATCTTATTAAAAATGTAATTCTGATTCTGTAGAACCAGGATGGGGCCTGAAATTTTGTATTTCCTGGAAGACCCTATAAGAAGACCTATTCTGTGTAGCAAGGTTATGGCCATTTATGTCACAATCAATAAATATTTGTTAAATATGTAGGAACCTAGGCCCTATCCCAATGTTCTGAGTCAGAATCTCTGGAGCAGTGGCCAGGAATACATACTTTAAAGTGAACTCCTAGGGGGACACCTGGGCTGCTCAGTAGTTGAGAATCTGCCTCTGGCTCAGGTCGTGATCCCGTAGTCCTGAGATGGAGCCTGCTTCTCCCTCTGCCTATGTCCCTGCCCCTCTCTGTGTCTCTCATGAATAAATAAAATCTATAAATACATAAATACATAGAATGAACTCCTAGGAAGATTTGAGAACCAATGGTTTATGGGTTTGAAATGCCCTCCACCTTTTTCTCTGCTTATTGATTTTTTGTCCTTCAAAGCCTTGTGCTTGCTGCTCTGGCCTTGTTGCTTTTATTGACCACCTCAGACTGAATTCTTTAATAGTTGTCTGCAGCAAATATTTGGTGTTTATCATGAGTTATCTTTTCTCGCACATATCCTGTCTCCCCAGACACATTTTATTTTTCGAAATGAAAAGTTTTGTTATATACTTTCTTGTAGCCCCAGCTCCTAGCATAATGCTTAGCATAGAGTGAACATTTAATTAACATTTGTCATGGACAATAATGGTGATGATAGTGAACGATTAACTTATTTTCAGGGCTCGTGGTTGCTTCCCAGGCCTTGTGTGATTATTTTTTTAAAAGGTTTTATTTATTTATTCATGAGAGGCAGAGAGAGAGAGAGAGAAGCAGGCTCCATGTAAGGAGCCCAACATGGGACTCCAGGACCACGCCCCGAAGGCAGGCGCCAAACGCTGAGCCACCCAGGGATCCCTGGCCTTGTGTAATTAAAAGAATCTGCTGATTCCAAAAAGGAAACACCCAACTGCTTAGCAAAGACTGTCAATCCCAACTGTGGCACGTTATTTTTCAGGTATTGACACTACGATCCTTCTGTATCTTGGTAGCTTGGATTTTATTATGGTGAATGGCTTGTCAAAGGAAAGAAAGTAATACTTTGAATTTATTAAGTTTTTTTATCTGTGAACCCTAAAGCACTCTAAAGCCATTTATTAAGTTACTGTATACCCATGGTGTAAATATTACACCCTCTCTACAAAAACGCTGACTAGGGAAAGAGCTGTAAAATACTCGGCCAAACTTAGTCATTTTAAGAAGGCCAAACCAGAAAGAATCAGTAGCAGCTGAGTGTGACCAGGTACGCCTTTCTCAACATCCCCCAGACCTCAAGTTGCGTGACTTTGCAAGGTGAGCGTTCCAGAGGAGAGAAGCCAGGGTAAGAAGAAATTGACGATTATCTCAATCATCTTTTTTCTTCCTCCGTATGCCTATTGCCATTGCTCTTTGTATCCCTCTTATGACGCTTGTACACTGTCGCTTGTGTTACGGTTAAACGCTGACCCATCTTCCCTCCTTAACTTCCTTGCCTGTTTTTGCAATCAATCTTGTTCTCCCTCCTCCTCCACTGCGGTACCAGAGAAGAAAAAAGAACTGCCAGCAGACGAGATCTGAAACGAGGGGGGAAAAAAAAATCAAAAATTAAAAAAAAAAAAAAAAAACGAGTTTGGCACCCTGGTTCCATCACTTAGGAAATTCTGCCTCTTTGAAAAAGTCCCTTCACTCTGAGGTACTTTCCTCTTTGTTTGTAAAATAGGGATAGATCACACCCACCTACCTCACAAGATGGTTGAAGCGATAGAATACGATTCGTAAACTGTAAAGCATTAAATGGATAGAAGCGGTCCCCTTACTCCATCAGTCCTGGTTTGAATTAATTTAATTCCAGGGCCACATTGCGCAGCAAAGCAGGGACAGGGCGTGTCCACAGGGAACAGCCTCGAGGCATATCTTTTTGAGGAGAGGGAGAGCGCGGAGCCGCTGGGTGTTGTAGTCTTAGCGGCAGTCTCCACAGGTCTTGGGGAAAGAAAAGGACTACAATTCCCGTGAAGCCGTGCGGAAACAGTCCCTTGCACCCTCCCGCCAAGCGCGTTCCCCAGGCTGAAGCGAGAGGCCGAAGGGGGTCCTAGGGGCGCGCGCGCCGTCGGTCCGCCGAGCGGTCGCTGAAGAGGGCTGCTGGTGGTGGCCGTGGTAGCTGAGAAAACGAGACGCACGGGAATGTGTTACGGGATAGAGAATATATCCTGTAACAAGGGATAAGACGCGTGGCAAGAGTCAAATTAAAAAATAAAAAGCCGTACCTAACCCCTCATCACCCTAGCTGATGCTAACTTGCGCTACTGCGGAGGGGCCGGGAGCGCGCTCTCCCGCTCGCGCTTCACGCCCCAGGGACTTAAATCGGCAGGGGCGGGAAGGGGCGGGGCCTGCGGCGCACGGGGCGGGGCGTAGGGCGGCGGCGGCGGTGGCGGCGGCGGCGGCGGCCACGACCCAGACATCTGGGACTGTTGTTGTTCTCTCGCGGCGGGACTGCCTCAGTCCTTTCGCGCAGAAAGAGATCCCGAGCTGGTTTGGTGGGAGCGGGCGGCCGCATCCCTCTTCTCTCCTGCTTCCCCGAAGCTGCAGCAGGAGCTGGCTCAGACACCCTGCGGGTGGTCTCCGATGCCCGTCAGTGAGGAGGGGGCGTCAGAACCCTGGTGAGCGCATCTCAGCCTCCCCACCCGCCAGATCTGTCTTCGCCGGCCCCCCAGGCCCTCACACCCCAGTCTGGCTGCCATGGCCGAAAACGCAGAGGGAGACCTGAACTCCAACCTGCTGCACGCCCCCTACCAAACCGGGGATCCTCAGCTAGACACGGCCATCGGGCAGTGGCTCCGTTGGGATAAGGTGGGTACCTGGTCCAGCCCGGCATCCGCCGCGTCCTCCCGTACGCCCTCCCACACGCAGTCTGCCCTTCCCCGTCCCCACCCGGTCTGGTGCTCGGCAGGCTGCAGAGGAGATGGCTCAGGCCAGCCGTTGGGGGCCAGCGGAGCCGGGCGTTGCCACCCACCTATGCCTGGGCTGCCTCCCCGGGACCGTCTCAGCCCCGCTGCCTGTAGTCTCTTTTGCAGTGCGCGGAATTGCAGCCTCCCTTTCTCACCTCCACCCCCCGCCCTTCAAGTGCACGTCGTCTCTCTCTCTCTCTCTCTCAAAATTATTATTATCATCATCATCGTCTTAAGTTAAACCTTTCATAGAGCTATTTCCTTTCTTCTCCCTTGACTTCCTTCTCTGCAAACCTGAAAGTGGGTTTTGGTCCCCTTTTTAGATGTCTCTAACCGCTCACCGCTTTACTTCTGGTCTGGTGTGTTTCCACCTTCCGTCGCTAGGTAGTCGCTGGTCTTTTATCATTCCCCGGTATTCTCCAGTATCACCTTTTGCTCTCGAGAAAGGTAAGAGTTGTCTTACCCTTTTATTTCCCTTGTCAGGAGTTATTTTCTGGAAGCAGCCTGTTCAAAGAATCACGTTTTCACTGGTTCGTTTGATGTTCCTGATACGGAAGTGTTTTTGCTTTACCCACTGCTTTTCCTCCTCTGCCCCTAACACCCCCTCCAAGTTGTTGGGGTGATTTCATCTTGTGCAGGCAGATGGGATGGATATGTGAGAGCCAGAGTTAAAACGCAGTTCTCGCACTTGTAGAAGAGGCCGCATCAGAGGAAGATGATCCAAGCTTTTGCTTTGTCAAGTGCATTAAATGCGTTTGTTGAAGTAGAAAAGGCAACGTATTTGAAATAGAATTAATAATAGTGAATGAAGAAATTAGTATGGTGGTATGTGAAATCGTGTACAAAAGAATTTCCCAAATGATTCGCTTTCTTAAAAAGTCTTCTTTTCACTTTGCTCATTCGTGCATTTAGCAAAAAATATTTATTGAGCATTGGGTAACGTTTTCTGAGTCTGTTAGGGCCACGGAATGAATACTAATGGTGAGAAAATAGGAAGGTTTCTGCCCTCAACAAGCTTTCAGTTAGCAGATAAGACCAACAAATAAGCAATTACAATAAGTTTGTTAGTGTTACTTGATCATATGCATCTTGGACGTTCTGTTCTTCCTCTGGAGTCTAAACCAGTGCTTCTCAAACCTTAAAGTCTTTACAGATCACCTGGATCTAAAATGCGGGTTCACAACTGATAGGTCTGGGGTAGGGTCTGAGATTCTTCCTCAAGAATGAGCTCCCAGGTGATACCAATGCTGCTGGTCTGTGGACCACTTGGAGCGGGAAGACTCTAGAGTGTTCTGATTCAAAAATCAAATTAAAGAAATCGCTCTCTTATTATAGTATTTGACCATATACATATATTTTTTAAGTCAAGTGTGCAGAATTTGTGATATCCCATTAATTACCATAAGGATGTGTAAAAAGCGAGTAACTTTAAAGCCATTTGCTGGAGGTCAGCTTGGTAAAAGAGCTAAAGCTTAGCATACAGATATATTACAAATTGACTATATAAGTGTCTTCAGCAGGGAAGCCTAACCAAATTATAATGAATGATAACCTTATATGTTTAATATGGATGTTTTTGTTTAAAGCCATCTGCTTTCATTGGTAGTTTCATTGCTATTTTAAGGAAGTGAAAGTGGTTGGGCCCTTATTGTCCCTAAAGAGAAAGGAAGAGTCATGAAATTTGAAAACACTTGTAGAATTCCAACACAATTTAATTTACTAGTAACTACCATGTATGTGAAAGCTTTTGACCCCAACAATAGGAATTTGTATTCATTACCATGGATGAGATCTTTTGTTCTTTTTAGGTACCAGTTTTGTCTATACTTTTCCTAATGAGTCTCTTGATTGATTTTTTTAAAAGATTATTTGAGTGAATTAATATTTATTCATTGTCTATGCTGTGTCTAGGTATTATTGGGATATATGGAAATATAAAAAGACTATAAAATGTGTATATACATAAAAAGATAACACTAGGGCAGTATTGGTGGCAATTAAATGTTTTATAGGCAGTCCTTATAGGACAGAAGTCAGAGTGACCTGTGGACTGGGATGATCAAGGAAGACTTTATAAAATGGGATACATATAAAAAGACTGAGAGGAGTCTTTATTGAAAATGGAAGACAAATTCTTAAATTATATATAAAGTGCCCTCTCTATTTTTTTTTTAAAGATTTTATTTACTCATGATAGACACAGAGAGAGAGAGAGAGAGGCAGAGAAACAGGCAGAGGGAGAAGCAGGCTCCATGCAGGGAGCCTGACGTGAGACTTGATCCCAGGTCTCCAGGATCACGCCCTGGGCCAAAGGCAGCACTAAACCGCTGAGCCACCCAGGCTGCCCAGAGTGCCCTCTCTATATAAGATACTAGCTAGGGATCCCTGGGTGGCGCAGCGGTTTGGCGCCTGCCTTTGGCCCAGGGTGTGATCCTGGAGACCCCGGATCGAATCCCACGTCGGGCTCCCGGTGCATGGAGCCTGCTTCTCCCTCTGCCTATGTCTCTGCCTCTCTCTTTCTCTCTCTCTCTGTGTGTGTGACTATCATAAAAAAAAAAAAAAAAAAGATACTAGCTAAAAACCTGTGGAAGATACAAAGATGAAATAGATAGGGATTATATCTTCAAAAAACATAGAAGGGAAAATGAAACAAAAGCTCACAAAGACAACAAGTAATACATGTCCTTAACTGAGGAAGAAATCTAAATAATTTAAATAATTGTTTCATAAAAATAATAATTGATCCCTCTTATAAGGGGAAATAATACTTTTAATTGGTAAACAAAGGTGTATTTAATGTAGATTGATAGTGTGGGTAACCTAGGCTATATCCCAGGGCACTGAAATTTAGAGTGCAGAAATGTAAAATAATAGATCAAACTTTCAGCATTTATTACATGACATGCTGACAACATATATAGTGTTTTAGAAGAGGAACTGAGTTTAATACCTGATTAATATCTATTTAGTGAAAAAAAAAAGGAACCTGTCACATGTGGCTGCTTCTGAATGACTCTGCTTGCCTAGATCACCAAAATTGCTAGTTTTAGCCTTGGTAGGGTGATGTACTTAGAAAAGTCTTCATGAAAAAAAAAAGTGCTACTTGTGCTAAACTTTCAGAATTGGTTAAAATTTAGATTTGTCAACATAGGATCTATTCCAAGCAGATATAGAAAGTTTGTGTACTTAGAATATTTGTTTCTGCTGTAGCTTTGCTTTGGATACATAGAGAGAAATTATTGGAAAGGTATGTAGAGACAGATCATAGAAAAGCTTCAGTATGTCTTTAGCGGCCTTGAATAAATAAAAGTGTATATAAGTGTTAAAAAGAAAATAATGCAACAAGAAAGGTTTTTTATTGGGGCAGTCTGGGATACCCCATGTAATTTCCATGGGGCGGCATTCTGTTGGTAAATTTTTTTTTAAGATTTTATTTATTTATTCATAGAGACACACAGAGAGAGACAGAAACAGACACAGGCAGAGGGAGAAGCGGGCTCCATGCAGGGAGCCTGACGTGGGACTCAATCCTGGGTCTCCAGGATCACGCCCCAGGCTGTAAGCGGAGCTAAACTGCTGCGCCACTGTGGCTGTCCCCTGTGTTGGTAAATTTACCATAGTTCACTAACTGATCCTCAGTTTTTAAGCCTTCAGATTGTGTCTCTCTTGTCTCAGGATGAATTCACCCTCAAGAAACTGAAACTGAGGTCTGAATTCAGAATGTAATTTTATTAATTTATAGTACAGATGTAATGTAAGTGGATTTGTCTCTAATCAGGGTATTTTCTAGACGTACCATAAGGGAAGTCAAAGAATCGGAAGATTTTTAGTGATCATAAAATCAAATCACAGGGATTCAGATACATGACTACATGTTCAACAGCATTGGCCTGTAATAAGTAAATGCTACCATTCTATGATGGAACTATCCTACCACTGGAACCCAACAAGTCCATGGTTCAAGGTGTTCTTCCTCCAGGTAATGCACAGATGACTTCTGTCCTGCTCTCTCCCTTCTATGTTCTAGATCTAAGGCCCTCACTTTCTTCTACTTCTTTCAATGTTTTCATACATTCTATCACATTATAAACAAGTCTTCACTGGCCTAGAAGCCAGATTCTCTGTAACATGACAACTATCACCTGTTTCTGATCTACAGTAAATTTTAACTTTTTGAAAGCAGATATAACCAAGATATTGAGTACTGCTCAAGTTTGGATGTGTGAATGTGTGGGTGGGGAGTGGAACAGGACACAGGGCAGCGCTGTTCAGCCAGTTGGAGCAGCAACAGCTATATTGACAAAATGTGCAGGCAGAGATTGGCCATGGCATTTTGAAAAAATAGTGGGTAGAGCACTCTGGTCTCAAAATGTAGGTGTATGCTGAGAAAGGATAGAATGTAAAGTTAAAGATGGTTTAGCTTAGGTTAAGGCTATGAAATGCCTGAAAATAGAAATAAAAGACTTTAAGTCAGTGATTTTCAGATATCTAGCATAGTTAAACTTTTTCAAGCAAAATATAGCCCTGGAAAATGGTGAATGGAGATCCCTGGGTGGCGCAGCGGTTTAGCGCCTGCCTTTGGCCCAGGGCGCGATCCTGGAGACACCGGATCGAATCCCACGTCGGGCTCCGGTGCATGGAGCCTGCTTCTCCCTCTGCCTGTGTCTCTGCCTCTCTCTTTCTGTGTGTGACTATCATAAATAAATAAAAATTTTAAAAAATTTAAAAAAAAGAAAATGGTGAATGAATTTCCTTTTAAATCATCATTGTGTGATGGAAAATATACCCAAGAAACACCTCTACAAAGGCAGTCTTGTGTAATTTTATCGTATAGAGACCTAAAGAAGTTGTGGTAGAGCCTAACCAGGGCTTGTATCTGTCAGCTAGTTCAATTTTTACAAA